AATTCAAGCATCTGAATATGTTATGACTCCCTGAAGAATAAGAATTTGTATATTATATGTACATGACATCATGGTCAATTATGAGTTCCAAGTTGGTTACTTAAAATCCCAAGGTCCTTTTAAGCCAAAACTATTGATAATTTTCAGTATCTAAATAGCTCTGACTTAGAAATTCTCTACAATCTACTTATCAATCTGTTTATATCATCCTTAGAATTAGAATTAATATGACATATAGCCCAGCTCTACCCCCACTCTCGAACCTCCAGCAAGTTATGTAACTTCTCTGTGTCTCAAATTCCTCATCTACAAGATGCAATAATATTATGTATATGCCATAGGTCCGTTGTGAGGATTATATAAATTTATGTAAAGAAAGTGCTTGGAAATATGTCTGGCACTTAGTTGTCTATAAATGTTTCCATTATCATCATCAATATTATTTTATTACCATCATTATTACCATTGTCATTATTACAAAATACAATCATAACATTGTTGTTATAATTATATTTAGAGGTAGAGTATTTACATTTCATTGTTGATCTATGAAATGACAACTTTTTCATCTTAAATGTAAAGTAAGAGTGGCATACAAATTTAAGATAAAATAGTGTATAAATTTCTTAAAGTGGAAATTTGGTAAAAAAGATCGCATTTTTTTCTTTCTTTAAAACAGATGTTTCCCTGGTCTAGAAGAGTTCATAAATTATTCTGAAACACAATTTTTAATTTGGAACTGCTAATGTGCTAGCAGCATATTTATTCCCAAATAAAAGAAAGTTCAAATATAAAAGTTCACTTGAGGAAAAAACAGGCAAATTTTGCTTTAAAGTTTATATTTATAGTTTTCTATATTTAAGTATAGCAGATAATGTATGCCTTTGGTTGGATGTTTGGACCTAATTCTCTTAAAATATATATGTTACAAAGATATTTCCAACAATAATATTTAAAACTTAAGAGTTTCAATTTTAACGTAAATCCTCCTATCTCTGCCTACAATACTGACAAAATCACATTGGTACATGCAACACCCACATACAGCATCAATCGTCTTATTTCTCTATAGGACAAATCCCCATCTTGAATATGGGTATGATCATCTTCTCTAGATTCATAGATGACATATAGTTGTTTCTCTATAGGATAAATGTCACAGAATTAAATTCAACCCCCAATAAAGCATAGTCTTTATATTTAAAAAAAATTTTTTTCCCAGTGTACTTCCTTATTTGGTTATGTTTGTCATCTCTTGGTATGTCCTTTCCCATGTATTAGAAACTTAAAAGAGGAGCAGTAACAAACCTGAGGAAGTACTAGTGAACAGGGGCAAATGTAGTGGGTGGGGGGTCTAGGTAGCTACTTCTGATCCTGGTACTAAGATCTGGGAATATATTTGTAGAAAGGAAGAAGAGCTCCATTATGGCAGGATCAAGTAAAATAAAATAACCACCCAATAAGACTCAGTCTAAAAATACCGGGTTTAGCAAAAGTTTATTAAAAAAGACAAATTAAATTCACCTCATCACATTGGCCCTTTAAAAAATGTGTAGAGACCTATGAGATAGATAACATCATTGCACTATTTAGGAGAACAAAAGGGAAAGTGGCAACATCTCTCTTTTGGGAATTTTACCAAAGAACACAATGACATCACCACTCCTGAACAGACAAAGCATATTCTGATTTCAGTTGAGGAGGAAGGTGCTGTAGATAACTACACAAATAGTCGTTTAGTATTATCTTGGCCCATGTAAAGAAATTCCCCCTTCTATGACATCTGCCTTATATCTCTTTTCAGCTATATGTAGTGAGTGGGCAATTATCTTTCCGTTCCCATCCTGACTGTGGGTATGATCATCTTGTTCTAGATTCAATGTAACTTTGCTCCCATCAATAAGCACTGTGGTTGGATTAGAGAACATGAAAATTAAGTTGTAGCAAGAATTGTTCACTCAGAGCAAAAATATATTAATACTATTAAACCATTTTATCCTTCTTCCTTAGGACCTGAAATCCGATATGTATCTTCCCCACCAATAGTACCTGCAGAGCTGGGTAGAAGCAGGACAGAAGAACTGGTTTAGCAAAAGGTTTAGGAAAGTCAATCTGAAATCAAAGACCACATGGGGAAGATTAACTTTTCAGAGGTCTATGTGATTACTATCAACAGTATACTACTTGGGGGCAGGGGGGAGAGTGGGAATGAAAAGTGTTGTATCACATCTTTTTATATTTGTTTTTGCCGATGAGAGAAGCTTTAGGATTATATTGAAATGCAAAGGATGTTAGAATAGAAAGGAACCTTACTGATGATCTACAATGAAGATAATCACATATTCTGGCCTGGCCAGGCCATTCTTATTTTATACTATTTTTACAAAGTTACTGTCAATGGCTCCCCCTTCCATTCTCAAAAATGTCCTGATTTAGATGGTAAATCAAATAGATATGCTATTTATAATAAAAGGCCCTCTATACCAATAGAGAACCCATTGTGTTAAATAACTTCTCTAAACTCAAATGACCAAAATGGAATTATGAGCTCTTTGAGAGCAGGATTCTGTCTTTTTATCTGTTTCTCCATGTCTGATCCAGGTAGACAGGTGAACATATGACTAACTGCTAAATTCCCAGGTCATTACTTTATTCACTTCGTCATGCTACTCTCTCTAAGTACAAGGCTGATAATTTGATAGAAAGAGTGCTATGAAACCTGTGAATTTCATGAAGGGCAATAAAACAACACTACTTTTGAGCTGCCTAAGTTATTGCAATTAAGAGATGAGGAAAAAATTTCTCTGAATGACTGTGGAAATTATAGCCTACTATGATCTCCATCTAAAAGGAAAATTCACTCATCCTTCACATCTGCTTAAGTCTCTTGCTAGCTACATGTGGTTGGGGGACTAGTTGTTTCCATCCCATTGTAACGCATGGTCACACCAAGCGTTGGTGTGACCAACTTGTTTCCAGGCTCAAAGTACTTTTGCTTTACTCCTCTAACTCTAGTACTTATGAGTTTCTACTCAGTTCTAAACAGGAAAATTCTTGCCATGGCAAGTTAATTCTAACTTTTGCTTTACTATTCTAACTCTAGTACTTATGAGTAACTTGCCATAGCAAGAATTTTCCTGTTTAGAACTGAGGGTGATAATTAATAAGTTAAACCATTTTTAGTTTCTTCCTTGGAAACTAAAACTGCTTTATAAGTAAAAATTTTCTCATAATCAGCCTTACCAATTAATGTGTATTTTAATTTTTATTTATAGTTATGCAAGAGTAGAAAAAATTGTTTTAAAATCATGAGCTTAGTTCCCATAAAGCTAGTACTCTAATTATATAAATTTGTTAATGGTAATAAAAACCATCTTATTTCCAGCTAAAAATAAAGATAGTTTACAAAAAGGAAGTAAATAACTTTGCACATTAAAGAAAATTTCTAATAGAAAGTTTGCATATTAAAGACAATTTCTTGAACACTCTAATACAGACGATATGTTATGCCCATTAAATTACTGACCTAGTTTCAAATGCCCATAAGGACTGCTAATCAATCTGTAAAATAGCATTGTACCAAAAAATGTGTGCATTTGCAATTGCCACCCAGTCATTCTTCTGGAAAATAATTTACTTATTCATTCATAATATAAACCAATGCACTGATAACAAAATTTCTAACATAAGTACGTCTTGTACTTTTACCATAGAAGGGAAATATTTGTTTCTCTTTCAGAAATTCCTGATACTTTAATAAATTATTTCTATTTGCATATATGCTATTATTGATTCTTTGAAGTCATTATAGACACCTGAGAAGTTTTTATAATGACTTCAAAGAGTCAGTAATGGATGAGTATACACTTTGGAGATTATATAGAAGTATGTGTGTGTGTGTGTGTGTGTGTGTGTAGATATATATATATACACACACAAAGAATCAATAAATATGAATGAGTATATACTTTGGAGATTATATATATGTATGTATATGTATGTGTGTGTGTATATATATATGTGTGTGTGTGTATATATACATACACATACACACATACATATACATACATAGGTATATATACATGCATATATGTATATATACACACACACATTTTTTGCTAATTGCTGATTTATATTTAATATATAATCAGTGATTTATACATATATTTAATATATTTTTTTCTACAGGAAGATAGTACCTCCTATTTGAGATTATAATTGAACAGTAATTTACTTTAAAAGTGATTATTGTCCCCTGTAAATTTATAATTGACTATTTTTATAGACAAAGATGACATTAGATACATTATCAATAAGTTAGGCATATTGAAAAGTATTTTCCAGTGAATTTATGCTAACTTACTACTCTACTAAAAAACTCTGTCAATTAGTTTTCTGATCAACACCATATGTGCAAGATTCTTAACTAACATTAAGTAGTAGCCTATGATTATAAAATAAAGGGTAGGCAACTAGCTCATATGAAATAAACCCTCTAGTTTTTACTACCTCTTTCATCTATGAAGCGGACATAAGTAACCAAAAATCTCTCTAGTAAATATGATCATACATTTAGAAAACTATCATAAAGAAAACTATATAGTAACATAAATAAGAACATAGCAACCAAATGTGCATTACCTCTTTATGTGGTTTTATGTTCATATAATAATTTTGCACTGGATTATGAAATAGTAATACAGTAACTCAACAAATGGACTGAGGCTGTTAAAGAAACAAAGATTCCCCTTTATTTGATTGTATTGCATCTACTCATGGAACATTCATAATAATCAAAATTTTCAATTTACAGGCCTATAAATAATGCTATTTAACTGAAAAGCAGCCAGTAAATAGCTATATATATATATATATTTGAAAAGCTTACTCATAGAAAGTAATTTCCATAGCAACTCAGTTTTGTAGAATGCAATGGTAGATCAAGAACTATCAGCATTTAAGAATCAGAAGAGTACTGATCGACAGTGAATTTGGCTTACTCCTTTGCCAGCTGCACACTGGTAGGCTTTGCTCCAATAGGTATCCCGTATTTGTGTAAAGTGTTAATCAGTATCTCCCTCATGTCGTTGTTGTAGGAATCAAAGTCAAACACATTTCGAACCACGCTGGAGAGACCTTCAGTGGGAAATTTCTGTATTAAAAAAAAAATTCCATTATTATGCATGTAATAAGATATACAACATCATAAAAACTTATGAAATGGATAGGACAATAATGATCAAATGAAATATAGCAGAAATTTACTGGTCTTTTCAAATAAGCAGGTAGTAGGCATGTAGACATTTTTCTCTTTTAATGTTTGCTCAGTTGACTTTAACAATATTTTCCTCTTTAAGTAAATGATCACATTTGAGGGGGAACTGTTCCTCCTCTCAAATGTTAGAGCAAGATCCTGGTGTCAGTGATTACCACTGCTTTCTGAAATCTCCTGTCTTTAATATGAGTACCAGATCGAACAGTTTAAAAATGCTAGTTAAGTAAAGGAACATGTTAAGTATCTATACAGAAGCTTTCAGAAAAGTCAGTCTGTGAATAAGTGAAGAAGAAAAGATAAAGCATCAAGAAAAGAAGGGAAGAACATAAAAAGTACAAGGAACAGAGAACAGGGATCAGTAGCGGGCAAGAAAACAAGTGTGACTACAACCAAATTTATACTGGTCATGTCCTCTGAGTCCTTTCCTCGTTCTGCTTTGATTTTCTTTAGGTGTTGGGGTCTGAGCTGGCTGAATTGAATTTATGGCTTTATAGGCAGAAGAAAGCTTTTTATTTTTAATCTTGTTTTCTTTCCACATATTTTTAATTGACAAATAATAACTGTATATGTTTATGGGGTACAATGTGATATTCCAATATATGTATGCCTTATAGAATGGTTAAATCACACTGATTAATATTCATTATTTAACACACCTTTTTTGTGGTACAAATATTACTTAACATCTACTTTCTCAGCAATTTCAAAATATACATTACATTATTATTAACTATAGTTACCATGCTGTGCAATGGATCTCAAAGACTTATTTCTCCTAACTGGAACTTTGTATCTTTGATCAACATCTTCCCCTTGGTACACTCTCCCTGCCCCATCTTTCTGTTTTTCTTTCTAGAGTTTTCTTGGAGGGCTGGGGATAGGTAGGAGGTCAAGAGTTGCTGAGTTGTGTTTGCTCACTTGGAGACCGTTGTTTGTTCTATAAGTAAGATTTATATCATTTTTTGTTTGTTTTCTTTACTAAGGTGGGGTACTCATTGCACATGGTCGCAAGAAATTTCATTCTCTTGCCTACTCTATCTTGCAAAACTTTCCTGAAGTATTTACAGGTATTTAATCAGTACTGTTAGTTCTGACTCTGTTTACTGTTGTCTCCATGTGATTTGTTTCAAAATAAAAATATTTTTTATCCATATACCACATGCTTGTTGTAAAAAGCCAAACACTCTTACAGGAAGGTTTCCCCACTAACTCACTCTCTTGACTCACCTGCCCTCCAAAAACAGCCTTCCACCAAATTTCCTAACTCCTTGGTAATGACTACAGCATAAGACCTTGCCAGGCCAGGTGCTGTGGCTCACACCTGTAATCCCAGCACTTTGGGAGGCCGAGGCGGATGGACCATGAGGTCAAGAGATTGAGACCATCCTGGCCAACATGGTGAAACCCAGTCTCTACTAAAAATACAAAAAAAATTAGCCAGGCATGGGGGCACGTGCCTATAGTCTAAGCTACTTGGGAGGCTGAGGTGGAAGAATCGCTTGAACTTGGGAGGTGAAGGTTGCGGTGAGCCGAGACTGTGCCACTGTGCTCCAGCCTGGTGACAGAGCAACACTTCGTCTCAAAAAAAAAAAAAAAAAAAAAAAGAGACCTTGCCAAAGTTAATTCAAAAGCTGAACAGATAATAATGTTCACTGGCCTACCATATTTACAAGTTAGATTGTAGACATTTCAAATTACGTAATCTGAATCATTATTATATTTATGGAAATTAAAAGCTCTGGCACAAATTGTGCAGTCTGAAAAAATAAAAAAGAGTGTGATGGCGTCTTCTAAACCACTATGCACATGTGTGTGCCATACCTGTAAATGTTTGACTATGTTGACAACTTCTCTGGTAGAATAAGGATAGTTAATAATTCCTTGGTCAGCCAAACTCCTCAGCTCTCCAAAGGCAGCCACAAGCTTCTGAAGGATGGGCTCGGGCACATTTGGTCCATACCGTCTGAGCATCTCAAGCTCCGAGTGGGGTTTGGGGTTATCAACTGCATGGCAGCTAAAAATATCACCTAAATGAGAGAAAAGATTCACATTCAATATGCAGTGAATCCATTACAATGCCACAGGAAAAAATGGAATGCTTGTTTAAAGAGCCATTAGTTGCTCATCAAAGCACAGAAAGCTCATCCAACAATAGGATAGTACAGAGAAAAAAGTAAATGATTGAAGCAAAAGAAAACTGGGTGATGGATGGTTTGTCTCCATGAATTTATTTTTGTTAAAAATTTACATAATACTTGAATATATGCTCACCAGGAGATATTCCAATACAAAGAGAAAAAAAAAGGTCTCCTTTAAGTCTCTGCCAATGCCACTCCTTCCCCAAAAAGCACTGAGTCTTAATGTTCAATGTAATTATTTTTCCAGACCTGTATTAGTACTTTAAAAAAAATGCATATATGCAAACAGTTTAGATAATTTATTCCTTTTCTATTAATGGGAATATATTCTTCATATGGTTCTGAGACAGCCTTTTAAATTTCAACAAATGTTGAGTATCTTCAAAAATTATATACGTCTATCTCATATAAATGCTTCTTTATGCACTAAAAAAGGGAGAGTTAGCAGCATCGCTCTCTAAACACTTTGTATCTTGTGCAGATTGATGGAATATACTTTAGAGGTTAGTTTTGGTAAAGTAAACCTGTAGAGACATTGTCTAATTTAAAAATCAAGAAAAGGAATGTAGAAGCATAATATTTCATCTGTAATTTAGGCAAATGAGAATGCACTAGAAAAATAATTCTATTGATTCATAATCTAAAAGAGCAGGGATCAAAGGAAGTAAAAGTAAATAGACTTACATTATTTAATATGTTCATTTTAGAAAATAAGGATATCTAGTAAGGTAGCAATAAGAGCTTAATTGATTTAGGAACCATTTGAACAAACAGTTACTTTGTATGTGTGTATTTAAAATCAATTAAATAAAATGAAAGCCATGATAACTTCAAAATTTTATCACATAGACCAAAGCTTTTCAAACAGAAAGGTGAAGAATGGCTTTTGCCTTTTTTTGCTGAAAATAAAACCTACCACTAACATAAAAAGATAATTGACCCCTCATTCATTTGCTCATCAAATAATGATTAATTAGGACAGTAGAAATGGTGATGCTGGGGGAGGTCAGTCAGGTAAACCTCATGAGAAAGTAACATCTGAGTAAATGTTGATACCTGGACAGCTGGTACAGCTAATCCAAAGACCCTAAGGCAGGCATACCTGGCATGTGGAAGGAAGAAGAAGGAGAGCAGAGTGGCTGGAATAGAGTAATTGGTGAGAGCAGCACCAAGCAGTACAGGCATGAGGTTAAAGACATAGGAGGATGTGAAAGACACACTGTGTAGGATACTACAAACTGTTGTAAATACTTGTACCTCTACTCAGAATAAAATGGGAAGCCATGGAGGATTTTAGCAGAGAAGTGGACTGCTGTGTTGTGATCAGACCACAAAAGGGTATGGGAAGACAAATATCTTGTCAGCAGAAGCACTGACCACACTGACTGATTTCCAAGAACATTTGTAGAGCAAACAGTGCGGCCTTGGAAGATATATTCTCTCTCTCTGTCTCTCTCTTTCTTTGTAAGAAGATAATTTGGGTTACCAAAGCTCAGGGTTACTTTTGTACGAGGCATCTCACTGTAACTGCAGGTATCATTTGGCCCTCTTTCTGCTACCCTGCAGGAACTGTGGCTTGAGGAACTAGTACAAATGCTGATACTTTGACTACTGCTTTTGCTGAATAATCATTCCTCTTGTTTCTGACTCAGGAGTCTAGCATCTTCTGCCATGAAAGCCTTCTGTGGCAGGCTAAATTGTTAGCTTAAAAGTAGAATAAACTCTTAGATTTTTCACCGTTCATAAAAAAGAATAAGGCTGGAAGCAGGACGTCCCATTAGGGGACTATTAGAAGTAATCCAGGTAAGAGATGATGGCGGCTTAGATCAAAATGGTGGCAAGAAAGTGATGGGGAAAGTAGGATATTTCTGAATATATTTTGAAGGTATAACCAATAAGATTTCAGGATATATGGAAAAGGGCATAAGAGAAAGAGAGAAACCAAAAATGAATTTGGAGTTGTCATTAATAGAGATTTACAAAAGACTATAAATTAATCAGGTTTAAGAAAAAAAAGTCTATCATGGACATGTTAAATTTGAGATATAGGAGCTATTGAACTGGAAGCTGGATATGAGTGTGAAGTTCAGGAGGGAGGTCTGGGCTGGAGATCAAACTTTGGCAATAACAGGCATATAATTGATATTCTAAAATATGACACATTCTGATTTTATTAAAGGAATGAATATAGATAGGCAAGAGGACCAGGGCCTGAGCCTTGGGGCATTCTAACAAGCTCCAACAAATAATGCTGAGTAGGAATAGTTAATAAGGTAAGAAACCAAAAACATACTTGAAGCCCTATTGTAAGTTAAGTGCAACAAAATGCATCAAAGATAAGAGAGTGACTAACTGTATCCACTATATATTAAATACTGCTGATAGATTTAGTAAGATGCGGACTAAGAATCAACCACTGGATTTAGCAATAGGAAAGTCACTAATGACCTAGACAAGAATTGTTTCTGTGGAGTAATGGGAGCAAAAATCTGATTAGAATGCATTTAAGTTAGGATGGTGCAGAAGAAATAGAGATAGCAAGTGTAGACAACTTTTTTGAGTATAAACAACTGTTGTGAGGAATTTTGCTATAAAGGAGAAAAAAAAGTAGCAATAGGTGGCAAAAAGAGTAAGATTAAGAGATTTGTGTATGTGTTCTGAAGAAGGAGGAAATGGCATGATGGTATGTTGATGGGAATAATATAGGGAGAGGGAAGTTGCTGATATAGGAGAGGAAGGGAAGAACTGCTAGAGCAGCAGCCTTCAGAAGGTGGGATCTGGTGCTTATCTGGAGGGTCTCCCTCTAGATGGGAGTGTGAACAGTTTACTGCAACAAGTGGGAAAGCAGAGCATCATAGGTGGAAGACTTGGTGGTAGGAGTCTGTGGACATTTGTTTTTAATTGTTTTCATTTTTCTCAGTGCAGTAGGAAGTCAGGAGAAAGTAATGGAAATCTACAAGCAAGTCAGTAAACTGAATCCTGGTTAGCAATGGGGAAAGGATGAAACTGGTGGGAAAATGAAGGAGAATTTCCCTTTCCCCTCTTTAAGCCCTTCTTTATTGCAATCTCTTGCAGCAAGTGAATGTTCAAGGATTGCATAATTTTAAAACAAAAAGAAATTCATGCAGCAGTGTTGAGCTGCGAGGAGAGAGAAGATATGAATTATCCTAGGAGAACAGGAAAGTGAAAGGTCTAGGGAAGCATGGTGTGATTGCAGTTAGGGACACTTGAGGTCCATTGTTAAGAATCTGAAACGAGGTTGGTCAGAGAGGTTTTGGGCTTTTTCTAACCACATTCAGCTGCACATGTGTAGGTTCAATGTTGTCAGAGAGTGGGCAGTAACCAGGGCAGAGGGGTTCCAACTATATAGGACAAGCTAAGAGAGGGTCAGGGAAACTGAATATATGTAAGAGAATCATAAATGTGAAAGATCATGCAACTGAAGCTGGGCAAGGGAAAAAAGGCTACGTAAAGAAGAAGAAGATATATCAAGATGGGTAAGTGAAAAGGTGGTAGGATCAATGGGTTGGAGCTTTTCATACATTTGAAGAACTGTTGGATTTGGTGTACTAGAGGGAGTAGCTGGAAAGACTAGAGGTGGTGGATGCATGGCTGAGATAAAAATCCCAAGGACAAACGAGAACAGAATAGAAGCTGAAATTATAGAAGTGTCAGTTATAGAAACTAGCCATGAGTCGCTCAGATGTGGTATAAGATAAGACCACTGGGATGAAAACATCCAAGGAGGCAAGAGGCCAGAGAGTTGGAAAGGTCACGTATGTGTACACTGCAGCCACTCAAGAGTAGGGTTGGAGAGCATGAGAATGAGCAAAGGGCTAGAGATCACGGAGAAGTGACAAGGATGAATAGGAGTAGATGACAGAAACAAAGGGCTGTAAAGATGTAATCTGATGACATGAGATGTAAAGCTGGGGGATTTTAGGGAAGAGAGAAAGAGAATGATATAAAGGCAGCAATAGGAGCAAAGACTCTTTACTTCCTCAAGGCCCAGGGTGGGAGAAAAAACACCAGTGCGTGAAAGGACTTTGGTGAGAGGAACGAACTTCAGGAGTGGGTCAGAATTTCATCAGAGCAAGAACAGATGGTACAATATGTTTCAGGATTTGAAAGTGGATGGAAGATGGAGACAGAGCAGGGAGTGAGTATTCTTGATAGGCATTAAAATAAATGTGATAAGGAGTGACTTGGGGTATAAGGGGCAACCTATAAAGAACCCAAACATAAAAAGAACTCAAACCTCTCTACAATTAGAAACAACTTTTCTTGGGTGTGTTTACATTACTACATTTCTAAGTGCATCAGTAATCTATGAATTGTTAGTAACTTTTAAGGTAATATCTGTACATAGTAAAAACTACAAAAATAGTATAACTGAGTATTTTATACTCCCATCCCTAACTTTCACTGCAAACAATGCCTTATCAGATTTTTGTGGACCTTCTGGAGAAATTCTATGCATATACAAGCTTACGCATGTACACATCCCGCCTGCCTTTTCCAAAACATATAAAGTTAAACTATTATATACACTTTACTGACTTATTGTTTCAATTAATATTTTGAGTATTGATTTTTTTATGTCAGCATTGGTAAACTGATTCTGTCTTTTTTAAACAGCTGCATAGAATTCTATTGTGTGGATACAAAAGAATTTCTTTACTCAGTCCCATTTGGATTGTCGTTTAAATGGTTGTTTCCATTCTTTCTATTATAAACCATGTTATGGTGCCTATCCTTGTACTTAAACATTGTATAGGTAAATTCCTTGGATAAATTCCTTTATGTGTAATTGATAGATCAAAGATCCCACTCAGAGACAGGGCCTGCTTCACATTGAGTATGAGAGTCCAGAATTATATAGTTGCTATAAAGAAGAGAAGTCCTTCTTAAAGACTTTTGATGTGTCCGTTTAACCCACGGCCTTTCCAGTCAATGTGAATCAATCTCCTCAGAGCTGATCTCAATCTTTTTCATGATTAGGGGAATGTGAAATAAGCAAAACCATTTCTTATTTTGTGTTCCATTCCAACAGGTCCTAAACAACAAAGTATAGTATAATGGTTTAAGAAAAAGCACTCTGGGATCAGAAAGACTTAGATATGAAGCCCAGCTCCACTACTCATTATCTCAGACACTATAAAAAATAATCTCTCTGGGCTGGGCGTGGTGGCTCACACCTGCAATCTCAGCACTTTGAGGAGCTGAGGCAGGAGGCTCACATGAGGTCAGCAGTTTGAGACCAGCCTGGCCAACATGGTGAAACCCTATCTCTGTTAAAAATACAAAAAGAGTTTGCTGGGCATAGTGGCGTACACCTGTAATCCTAGCTACTCGGAAGGCTGAGGAAGGAGAATAGCTCGAACCTGGGAGGTAGAGGTCGCAGTGAGCCTAGATCACGCCACCGCACTGCATTCCAGCCTGCACGATAAGAGCAAGACTCCATCTCAGAACAAAACAAAACAAAACAAAAATTAACTGGGTCCACTGGTGCATGCCTGTAATCCCAGATACTGGGGAGGCTGAGGCAAAAGAATCACTTGAACCTGGGAGGCAGAAGTTGTAGTGAGCCAAGATCATGCCACTGCACTCCAGGCTGGGTGACAGAGCAAGACTCCATCTCGAAAACAAAACAGAACCAAAAAAACCTCGCTGAATATCAGATCTTTTGGTGGCACAGCACATGATAAGCATTCAATGACAGCCATTATAGCAGTGTTACTAATACTATTATTACTGCTATTGGCATTGTTATTGTCACTACTGTTTTTACCTAAGGTACTGAAGAAATCATTGCCTAGGAAAGGAAATCCAGGTCTGTTTGCCAGAACAATCATCCTAAAATCAGGATGAATCACAACAACATTTTCTCTTCCATTCACATTAGCAGAATCTGAAAAACAAAATTAAATTTTTATTTATTCTTTATCAATATTTAATAATTCTTAAAAATATCAAGTCTTTAAGATAACACAAACAGTTATACTGTTTAATTACAAAAGGCTCTAAGATATTTGACTGTGATAACTTGGTTGCAGAAACAAAAACTTTCTTGAAAAAATTTGCTCAAGAACCAAACACTGATAAAACAGAAACTTGAACTCTTATGTACCTTCAGTGTACATCTAAAAAAAGCAACCTTATCCAAATGTAGACTTACAGTACTTAAATCTGGCTTGAGATGTTGTTAGTCCTTAAAAAAATTAAAGATAGAAATCCATAATAAGGGATAATCCAAGGAATAGCCAAAAGATAATCCAAACATTCTTTAGTTTTTATTAATTCAGCAACCACCTCCTTTTGCATAGAGCCTGCCATTATGCAGCTAAGGAGTTATTCCTGTTTAGATCATGCACCCTGCAACCTAAATACATATTAACAGAATAAAGGTCTTAAAAACCTAGCCAACGCATTAGTGCAACATTGATTTATTTCAAATCAAGGGATTGTACCACAGTTCTTAAAATAAGTGATCACAAGTTGACTAGGGCTTTCTTTTGTGAAAGGTATTTCTACTGGCTAGTGTACATTTCAGATAGAACTGGAAGTCTAGAAAATATTTTAAGATAGTACAAGTTTTATTATGGTTCTTTCAGGAAGAACCACTTGCTAAATGAATTTATTTAAATCCCACCCTTAGGTCGCCCATCTATTAAAAACCAGAGTAGCCAACCAGAGTAACCAAACAAGGTGAGATTAATAACTAAAATCTTCAATATTCAAAGAGAGTATGTAAGGAAAACCCTGTTAAAAAGGTACAAGTGCCTTTTCTGAGCCTGAGCTTAGCACTAATAAAAGCATTCTAATATTTTGGTTTCACAATGAATTTGTGTGAAAAATGAAAAAATTTTAAACTATCATTAACAAATGATAGTTGTGAAGTACCTGCAGTTTTATTTGAGATAAGTCTGGAAGAAATTACTTTCACTTTTTTTTAAAATGATATCAAAAAGTAATCTTTCAGCATGTATATATTCATGTACACCAATACAACCAATAGTTTTCACTCTGATCCCCATTAATCTTAGTAGTAGAAAATAGCAAGGACATGTGGCCACAGGCAAAATTTAATCAGTTAGTTAATCAAAACAATGACTATCAAAAATAAAAAATTTAAAAAGTAAAGAAAATAAAAAACATAACCCTACAAGTGATGGTTCATGAAACTACATTCAAACGAGCTTCAAGTGCTCTTATTCAAATTGTCAGCTACAATCATTTGAATTTAAAATTATATTGACTCTTCTTCAAAAATATATCAGAGAATGTAGAGGGTTACCAGGAGATAATTATTTCCTAACTACAATTGTGTTTCAGCAATTCTCTTTTCCATTTCACTTTCCTCATAATGCCTCATAAGGGCAGGCAGAATTCTGAGAGTCTGAATGATCTTTTTTTTTTTTTTTTTTTTTTTAAGAGAAAGCATTCCGGGTAACTCAAATTCTCATTTTTCACACGGATTCATTGTGAAACTGAAATATTAGAATGCTTTTATTAGTGCTAAGCTCAGGCTCAGAAAAGGCACTTGTACCGTTTCAATGGGGTTTTCCTTACATACTCTCTTTGAATATTGAAGATTTTAGTTATTAGTTTCAACTTGTTTGGTTACTCTGGTTGGCTATATATTTTCAGTGGCCCGTTATAGATTTTCAAGTCCTTTGAGGACACAAAAATTTTAAATTTTAAATTAGAAAATGTTCTCACATTGTATCAGACAAATTTAATTGTTCCTTGTAGTTTAAATACACTGATAAGATTAATCGATATTCTTTTTTTTTTTTTTTTCCTAACAATAAGAACAAAAAGGGTGTGTGGGGAGAGGGGCAGGAGACAATAAAAAATAGAGAATAACTTCTTCCTATGGAGAAATGTGTATGTAATATATGTCTTTATACATACACATGTATTTACCACATATATGTGTACTTATAAAATGTCCAGCATTTGTTCATTATAATGAGTGAATTGAAAAAAAAATCATACACAAATAATTAAGAGATGAGTATAAGGGTTAATATGCTGGTACTGTCAGGGTAGAAAAATACAAACTTGATTTGTCTTAATACTACTAATAAAAATTTCAAAGAGGCTCACTGGCTATAAAAAGTAAAACTGACAAAGCTAGATTCAGATGTATTAATGCTTGTAAATGATTGTCAACACAGGCAACTTAAGTTATATTGAACATTTGCTCATTATTTGTAAATAAGTAGCCAGCTAAGCTTGTGATTTGATACCAAAGATCTAAACATTGTATGTATTAAAGGAAACATTGCTGTTTAAAATACTCACTTGCAACAATGCGCCTTCCATCTGCTAAAATCATTTCTCCATTTTCTACCAGAGTTTTTAAAATACAGGTGACATTTGTTGGAGCTTTGTCTGCCTCATCTACTACCAGAATATGACCCAACTCTACTGCTTTAACCTTTGAAGACAGAAAATTTATCATAAACAATTAAAAAAAGACAGCCATTATTAAAACAATTATTTACTGCTTTGGATTTATAACAGCTGGTTTTATTTAAGTTATGAGTATTCTCTCTCTCTCTCTCTCTCACACACACACACACACACACACACACACACACACACACACACACAAATCTATAGCAGAGCTGGAAACAAAATATTGGGATTTCTACCAAAAGTTTCACATAGTTAATAAACTGCAAACTCTACAGTAATCTTTTTATTTCATTTTAGTATTAAATTTATTCCCATGGTAGTGATACCCAACATTTCACACCCAAGAGTAGGAGAGATTTAAAACAAGCATAACAAATAGAGAAATTAAAGTCCCATGGGAGTTATGAGGCATGAGACATCACAATCATTGTGAATATCAGGACACTGAATTTGTTAAAGCTCTTAAAAGAGTATACAATTGTAATAGGCCCAAATGGATAGTGCAGAAGAGGTGGGTACTCAAGACAGAGAAAATCAATGGTCAAACTCAAGAAATCCTGGGGCATATCTAGAAATGAGTGACTATGAACAGTCTATGTTGGCTGAAGTAGAAGTTAAATATGAGAAAAGGGATGGGAAGGGTAGATTGGGTGTCTACTACTAAGGGTTTAACTGCCAGACCAAGAAATAGGTACTTTGCACCATTAAGTAATGGGATGCAATTTAATGCTTATGAGTTCACACATTATAGAAGTGGAACTTGGAGCTACACTTCAAGATATTTAATCTGGTGACAATATGCAGAATAATTTGGCTAAAAAGTGATTTGGAAACCTGATTTGAGAAAGGTATGAAAAAAATGGAAATAAAATATGTTACATAGATTTGAAGGTTTTGTAGAGGTAGAATCTATAGTCTTGGCAACTGCTTAGATAGGAAGAAGAGAAAGGAAAAATAAAAGTCTTAGATCTAAGGTGACTGGGTTGATGGTGACAACACGAAAAGAAAGATGAGAGCTAGAGAAAACTCTTAAAAATGAGGGGTGGATAAGAGGAGATATCCAATGAATTTAAGTGTAAATCTCAAGATTTAAAAAAATGTAGTAAGAAATATGACATAAGGTGGACCATACATAATTTTTCTCATAGCATGATATATTTTAAGAAAATACAGATTAAGAAATGGGCATTCCTTCTACCACAATTATTTTAAACCATGTTAAAAAAAAACAATTTAAACAATTTTAGGATTTAAAAAACTGCATTTTCAAAAAAGAAAGCACATAGCTTCTATCCTCAACCTTGTCTTTGTTCAGGGACAGTCAGGCCCAACCTGGGAGAATTCAGGCAGAGATCCTAAAGACTCCACTCCCTTGGGTCTGGACCACAGAGGTTTCCATGATGGCTTATTTGTGCCATTACTTCAAAGGTGTCATGTGTGCAGAGGGACATGCCTGGCAGGCTGAGATTTCTTTGGGTCTTGTGTAGGAAGTTGAGGACTGGATATTCCCAGCTGTCTAAAACACTGGGCTAACATTTTATTAATTAGAACAAATTTTTAAAACTTTTCTAGGAACTTTACCTATTTTTAAATTTTGTACATTCGAAAATGATGGTAAGCTTAAAAAAAAACCTGGAATAGAAAAGAAATCAATAGAGGATTTCTGTCATTCTCTAAACCTCTCACTCTGAAGGGAGAAGAACAAAATAGGAAAACATATTATTTTCCCAATAATTTCCATATAAATATCCACTCCTAAAATGAACATGAATGAATGCTTTCCAGTTAGGCTGAAATATATTAGAATCTGATGTGATTTGGCTGTGTCCCAAATCTCATCTTGAATTGTAGCTCCCATAATTCAAGGGAGGGACCCAGTGGGAGGACCCAGTGGGAGATAACTGAATCATGGAGGCAGTTTCCCCCATACTGTTCTCGTGGTGGTGAATAAGTCTCACAAGACCTGATGGTTTTATAGGGGGAAACCGCTTTACTTGGTTCTCATTCTCTTTTAGCTGCTGCCATGTGAGATGTGCCTTTCACCTTCTGCCATGATTGTAAGGTCTCCACAGCCACATGGAACTGTGAGTCTTTTAAACCTCTTTTTATTTATAAATTACCCAGTCTCAGGTATGTCTCTATAAGCAGCATGAAAACAGATTAATCCATGAGAGATCCACCCCTTCAAAAACTGAAATACAACTACGATTCAAAAATACACTTGAAAATATTTCTATGATTAGATTACTAACCAAAGGTGAGTCTTCATATACAATAAGTCCATCTTTAACTGAAGGCTGAAGTGTAAGAGTTTGTACTGTGGTATCCCTAAAGCAAAACCAACACATTTTATAGTTAGTAAGGAAATAAAATGATGATTGATCATGAATAAAAATATAACACAGGTGCATTTTTTAAAAGATTTTTATTCATCATCCTCCCCCCATCAAAAAAAAAAAAAACAGCAAGTGAAATTTCTTTTGATAACAATATTTTGTAGACTTAATACAGTATAAATTAAAGAATTTGAGCATTAATCCAGATTTATAGATTATCTAGGTTCTTTACTTCTCTTTTTCTTTCTGCTAATATCTATTGTAACCACTTCACACCACAAAATTACCTTCTGAAGGTGAAGAGGAGAAATTAAGAATATATATTTATATTACATATAATAGTTATGCTGTTTAAGAATAATTCTGATGGCAAGTTTGGTAATGATTGGCATGCTAACATGGACAATTAAAGCAAATCTAGGAATTACACATTCAGGCCCAACCTGCCATTACTAGGTGCCAAACACCGACTGTCTCACCACATGCCAAGAATACTCAAGAATTACTTTATGGGATTTTGAACATTTCTGTTGGGTTTAAGGCAACCCATTATATTTCTTAAATCTATTTTCTACTATTTACCTGACCCTCCTTTAGACCAGGATCTTCAAAAGTACTAACAGTTGGCTTCCTGATGTTAAGAGCCTTCTTACATGATAAGATATAAAGCTCATATCAAGTATGGATATTTTTGCCAAAATGTGTGTAAGAAGTTATAGGTGATAGGTAGGGTCAGATATTTTTAATGGGATCAATTTTGTACCTTCCCCCTCTGCATGTACTCTACCTCAAAAATGAAAAATCTTATGTCCAGCAAGATTGTTTCCCACAGAGAATTAGAACTGCTTTAAAAATGTGAGTAGCATCTTTGAGGACTTCAAAGTTATTTTTTCAAACTGCCCTACTTCTTATTCAAAGTGAAGCATGAAGTTGCAATTGTGTTGTTTTGAGTATCTACTGTGTATAAGACACTACTGGACAGTGAACTTCAGACCTCGATGTTATACTTGTGAAACATATACCCAAATGCCAAACTTTACTACAATCTATTAAAATTGTAAAATGTGTATCTGTTTTTTAAAAAGTAATAAATAGCACTTGACAATCAAAAATAAGACAAAATTAAGATATTATCAAATAACTTTTTTCTTTTAGCAGAACAAATATAATAAAATCAGTTAATTGCTTTGAGAGGCAGGTATGGAGTAGTGCAAAGGAGACCTTGGAGTCAGATCAATCAGGATTCAAATTCTTGTTTTTGCCACTTATTGACCATGTGATTTTGGGGAAAGTAATAAAGCCCACCCCAAATGATTGCTGATAGAACACTTGGAAAGTATCGAACACCATATCTGGTAGATAGTAGAGGTGTAATTACATATCAGCTTCAGGTATTTGTTATCAATATTGCTGTTGTTGTAACTGACAGTTCCTTTCCTGTCTACCTTCCACTTGATCTTCGGTATTTTAGCATAGATGGTACTTGTTTTTTTTTTTGAGACGGAGTTTCGCTCTTGTTACCCAGGCTGGAGTGCAATGGCGCCATCTCGGCTCACTGCAACCTCTGCCTCCTGGGTTCAGGCAATTCTCCTGCCTCAGCCTCCTGAGTAGCTGGGATTACAGGCACGCGCCACCATGCCCAGCTAATGTTTTGTATTTTTAGTAGAGACGGGGTTTCACCATGTTGACCAGGATGGTCTTGATCTCTCGACCTTGTGATCCACCCGCCTCGGCCTCCCAAAGTGCTGGGATTACAGGCTTGAGCCACCGCACCCGGCCTTAGATGGTACTTGTTGAAAAATCTTTTCCCTGACCTTTTGTAGACCAGCTTAGGTGCCCCTGCTATGTGTTCCCCTTGTGACCCACATATCCCCTATTTCAGCCCTTAACACACTATACTGTAAGTACTTATTTTACTATCTTCCTACACAGACTGTAAGATCTAAGAGTATAGAACATGTCTACAATGTCTCTCATTCTGTCTCCAGCTACAAGATGTTTGGCTCACTGAAGGAATTCAATCAATATTTGTTGAATGAATGAAATAAACTAAAATGCAATAAAATAAATAAATGGAAAAAAATATGAAAAGGTAATAGTCAACGTTGTAGTTTATAGTTCAGGATGAAGTATATGGACTTCCAAATTTATTGGATCATTGGATATTTTTTTTTTAAACAGAGAATCTGGAGCCTACTCTAGTAAGTGTTGGGTTAGAGTAAGGCTAATTCTTAGGGGTAAGGAATGGTGCATTCTAAGGGATGCATCTGTAATTTTGTATTAGAAAGTATAGTCATGTTGAGAAGGTGTACCTGGGGTTGATTAGTCAAGGGCCTGGGGAGTTGATGATTTATGTACATGATGGAGTTGAATCGGTACTTATGGTTGTAGTAGGTACCTTCTACATCAGAGTCCTCTTTTACTGAGCTTGAACAGGTATGCTGGCAATACAATTACTGACATTTACGATTTGTAGACCATTTGCCTTATTTGCATCTAACTTGGAAGGGTTCTCCTTCTAACTTAACCAAACAGTTTCTTCAGTTAATTCTCTGGGATTCTGGTCTATCGCCGTTCCTGATTTCTGTCCAACTTCCATCTCCATAATCCTGGCTCTCCTGGGCCTCGTACCTTCCCCCATAATCTACTGCTTCTTATGGCCCTAGCACTACACTTTACAAAGAATCTAATTTTGTTTATCTTCTCTAAAAAAAAATTAAATTATGTCTAAAAATAAAGCCCTGTGGGATGATAGGGAAAGTGAAAAATACATTGTGGCAAGTTATTGATGATTATCAAACTTTAGTATAAATAAAATGTTCCCTATATAACAAATTGATTGTTATATATCTATTTTCTGTATTTAATAGGCTTTATAAACTTAGTGCAGGACATATGTTATTTTTTTGCTAACAAATTAATTGTTAGAGTTTGAAACAAATCAAGAACAAAGTTTAATTAACCTTATTTCATTGTTAATACTCTAGCAATGGAGAAGGGGGCGGAGGAGGAAGGAAAATAGATGAGTTCACACAGATTTTTATAGCAATATAATGAATTTCTCACCTCAGCTTTCACATATTTAATGGGTAACAACATGTCATCTTCCAGCACCAAAAAGAAAAAGGAACTCTTGCATCATTGTCAGTAGAAAGGAATTCAGTTGTTATCTTAATAATTATTATGCTTCATAGCAAATTAAGAAAAGTAAATTCAAGCTGAATTCTAATTTTAAAAAGAAAATGAAATTGCTCCATAACACTCAAATTCTGATAGCACACAACTTGTCAAATTAGATTTCTCAAAAGACTTTTATGCTAGAAATAAAAATCATAGGTTTGAGGAAACAAGCACAAATCAGATGATTTCCAAAGGAGACTAAAATCAGGATAAATGCAAATGGGAAACGTGGCTGTTAGTGGAGCAGTCTGCAAGACAGAGAAATTTGTAAGATAAAAGTGGTTTTGTTCCGCTCTTATAATTAATCCCTTCATCTAGTACATAAAAAAAAAGCAAAGGCTAGTAAAATAATATTGAACTTAAGAAATTAGTAGGTTTGTGTTTCAGTAAGTTACCCTCATTTTGTAAATGGGAAACAATCCACTATTGTCTGCATAAGACTTACTACAATAAGAAAAAAGGCTTGATTTCCAAGATATCCTATAAAATTACAAACTTTAACTTAGTAAGTGATAAAATGACTACTGTTGTCACAGGTAGCAAAAACTGACTCTTAAAGACAATATAGTATTTCTTTTTCAGAGGGTATTTGATTAAAATCATTGCTCTGCATTTATGAGCAACTTGGATAAAAAGATTAATTCTCCACACAAATAAATGATGAACCTAAGAGAATATTTTATTTCCTGCAATTTCAATCCTCTTACGAATTGTTCCTCTGAAAAACAGCTTTGAAATATAAGCTAATGAAAATTTAGTGTCACAACAATACTAGGGAGAAGAAAACTTAAAACACATTTTAGTCACATGTTGTTAGCCTAAAGCTTAAAAAAGAGATGTCTTTCCAGTACATAACATTTATCAATAATACTTGATGAATTAATTAGAATGTTCAGCTAAGTGCTGACATTTATGTTCTCAGTGTTCTCACTTTTTACTATCTTACAAACTACAGCATCTATCAACTAAAGCCTGTGCCACTAAAGGGGCTGCTCAAAGAAATATTGTACTAAACTCTATTCTTTTTTTTTTTTTTTTTTTTTTTGACGGGGTTTTCTTTTTTTTTCCCCGGCTGGGGGGAAAAGGGGCCTTTTTGGTCCCCCCCAACCCCCCCCTCCTGGGTTACGGCAAT